GTCCTTATATTAAAAGTCAGGAGCTATAGTATTTGTAGAACAGAATGTTGAATTTTTTGGAGAGAGCCCAGAACTCTTCTTCCTTTGTGGAAAGAAAAAAAATACACTTGCAGTGCCCCCCCCAACACACACTGTAGGGATTAAATGCTCACAAAATCTAGAGGTAGAGGAATTAATAATAATTTCCTTGCTCTGGCAACCTATCTTCACATTATGAAGCCTCTTCTCTATGGCACACTAGCCAGTGGTCACTCTTTGATGTCGTCACATTCAAGAATTCAAGAGAAGAGGGGAGCACTGGAAGCCTGCCAGAGCAAGGAATATGGTAATAATTACATTTTATTCCTCTAGCCCTAGAATTAAACTGATTGTAAAGGCTCAAGGTTTTTTACCTTTGTGCATTATGTGCAGCAGCTCCCCCAGCCCCCTCAGTACTTACCTGAGCCTCATCGCGATCCAGTAATGTGAATGACAGCCTCGACTGTTCCGGATCTCTGCCTCCTCATTGGCTGAGACAGCAAGCGAGATCCATTGGCTCCTGTTGCTGTCAATCACAGCCAGTCAGCCAATGTGGAGAGGGGACACACAGAGCAGCAGGTGCCCCCATAGCAAGCTGCTTGCTGTGGAGGAACCCAACAGACAGGAGGAGCCAGGAGAGCCTGTGGGGAACCCGAGAAGAGGAGGATTGGGGCTGCCCTGTGCAAAAACCACTGCACACAGCAGGTAATTATAGACATGTTTGTTATGTTACAGAAAAAAAAGAACCTTTAGAATCACTTTAACAACCATTTAGGTCTGGTTCACACTGCTGTGGCTCTGTGAGCCACATTTTGCACTGGTACAGCAACCTATTCATTTGAATGGGCTGTGGTGCTCCTGAAAACGCAGGGAAAAGGTCCCTGCATCATTTTTTAAATTACAGCCTGCACAGAAACTGTGACACCTGCATGCATATCCTGCTGATTTCTGTGCAGTTAGTTGCTGCTGCAGTAACAGGTGAGGTCTTGTAATAGCAATCACCTGCACAGGTGACAACCTAGCCTCAATCTTTGAAGTGCGGGGGGCTTCCACTGCAAGGGTATTTTTATAAACCACCTCGAAATGTATGTAAAGTCTAACAATGAACTCTTATTTTCTCCTCTTTGGTCTGCTAAATGTATCATTAAAAGAAATCTTGAGAGCCATAGGCATAGCACCAGAGTCACAATTGCGACCCCTGCCCATGCTCCAGAGGGGCCCGTGCAGCCTCCCTCTCACATTAGGCTGTACGTCATGCCAGCTAAAGAGCAAAGCCTGCCTGTGTGTGGGTGGCTGGGTCACCTGAGAGTCCGGTATGTGAGGTAGGTGATGGGATAGGTCATGCCCCTACCCTCCACACAACTGCCAGACAGGATGGGGCCACTGAGTGGAGGAGGCAGGTTACGTGCTGAGGGGAATGATAAATGAGTGGTGCACAGTAGTGATTGGTCCCAGGGTTCCCCCTGTACTAGGGAATTCCAGAATGGGTATGGGGAATGGGTAGTGGAAGTATCTTGGCGCACAGTGAAATCTGTGGGTGGTGGTGGTCAACTTGTGCATTGGGGCCCACAAGCTTCAAGCTACGCCTTTGTTGAAAGCTGATAACTTCCGTTTTTCTCTGCCTGGGCACAAGAAGGGATTATGGAAATACAGAAGGGGAGGAGATGGGGAGAAGGCTGTGTTTTTTTTGTAGTCCATCAGAAAAGTAAGTGGGCAGGGCTGACAATACACGTTAGGAATTCAGAGCTGTGTTGTCAGGCCAAAGAAGAATGTAAGAGCACACTACATTTCTGGCACATCAACAGAAAATTTTCTGTACCTGCAGTGTGTTTAAAGGGATAAAACATGGGAAATGTATCAGGTTTATTGAGATGAGGGATTTTGTGTTTTTTTGGGTTTTTTTGCCCTTTAATTTCAGCTTTCTCATGATACCAATAAATAACATAGGAGTGCGGCACTTAAAATAACTGTAACAAATGGAAATAAAAGTCCAATTAATATATAATGAGGATGAAATAATCCCCTCTTCATAGGGACATCAGTAACGTCATATATACTTCAATATGGTCAAGAAGATATAAGGGATCCACCATCACCAACATCCAAAAAATTCTACCTCTTACCAGACAAAAATGACCCCCAAATATGGACGGGTCAAAATGCGCAATGCAAATTCCAAAGAGAGTGCCATGAACCTGGATAAATATTGACTCCGAAGGAACAAAACTGGACCCCAGTTGTGAAAGGATAAACACCCTTAAAGCTGATTCCAAAAACAAGCCATGTTCAGGACACTGATATCAACCCAAATGTGAAGCCAGTATTTCCCTTTGGTCCTCTCGGTCTTTGTTGTCCAGTTTGGAACAGGATATCAGAAGTGTTTAGTAGCCCATCTGTGTCATTTAGAAATAGCTCACAGAGGTACCATCTGACCCTCCCTGGTTATCTGGTCAGTGAAAACAACAATCGTTACGCTGTATAGGGAGAAACACAATCAATACCTATGAAGAGGGGCTTATTTCATCCTCATTATATATTAATTGGACTTTTATTTCCATTTGTTACAGTTATTTTTAAGCGCCGCACTCCTATGTTATTTATGTTTTATGTATTGTTGCCAGCAATGCTGAGGTGGCTGCTTATCCTTTTTTATTGAATTATTATATATTATAGCGCAGAATTGTTTAGATATATTTTTCTCATGATACCAATGCAGTTCACCAAAAAGTGCAATTTCATCCAAAACTCTCAATATTTACCAACTTTTCAGATACACGAAAACTTATCCTTATTGCTGAATATATTTATTGATACACACTGTATATTGGTATATATATTCAGTACAAGTATATGTAGTATATACTTTATATACTGTTTATATTTTTTTCCGGATAAATATACAGCAGTATATTATAGTTTGTTAGTGATAGTTTCCTGATTTATGATCGCTGTCAAGTTACATTTTTTTTAATTTGCAGTATTATTTATGAGTAGAGATGAGCGAATCGAACATGGCGAAGTGGAATTCGTTTCGAAGATCAGGAAAAATTAGATTCGCGCCGAATCCGAAAATTAGCAAACTTCGGATGCACGAATCGAATTTTCCCAAAAATGGCGGCGACATGTGTGGCGACGGAGCGGGGATCTCTGGGAAGGCGCGCAGACAAGGCGCGCTGACCCATAATGCATTCATTCATGACATGTGATCGCATTAGCCAATCAGCAGCCAGCCAGCCAGCCAGCCAGCACTGTGTAATGGTGGAGCTATAAATTGCGGCCATCTTACAATTCTCCATTAGCCTCTGGTCATTCAAGAGAGACAGACCTGTCTGTATTAGGGACAGAGTTAGGGCCAGAGAGACTTTAGGGCCACAGAATCGTTACTTAGGGACACAGAATCGTTACTTAGGGACACAGAATCGTTACTCAGGCACACAGAATTGTTACTCAGGGACACAGATTCGTTACTCAGGGACAGACACAGAATTGTTACTCAGGGACACAGAATTGTTACTGAGGGACATAGAATCGTTACTCAGGGACACAGAATTGTTACTCAGGGACACAGAATCGTTACTCAGGGACACAGAATTGTTACTCAGGGACACAGAATTGTTACTCAGGGACAGACACAGAATTGTTACTCAGGGACACAGAATCGTTACTCAGGGACACAGAATCGTTACTGAGGGACACAGAATCGTTACTCAGGGACACAGAATTGTTACTCAGGGACACAGAATTGTTACTCAGGGACACAGAATCGTTACTCAGGGACACAGAATCGTTACTGAGGGACACAGAATCGTTACTCAGGGACACAGAATCGTTACTCAGGGACACAGAATCGTTACTCAGGGACACAGAATTGTTTACTCAGGGACAGACACAGAATTTTTACTCAGGGACACAGAATCGTTACTCAGGGACACAGAATCGTTACTCAGGGACACAGAATAGTTACTCAGGGACATAGAATTGTTACTCAGGGACACAGAATCGTTACTCAGGGACACAGAATCGTTACTCAGGGACACAGAATCGTTACTGAGGGACACAGAATCGTTACTGAGGGACACAGAATCGTTACTGAGGGACACAGAATCGTTACTCAGGGACACAGAATCGTTACTCAGGGACACAGAATCGTTACTCAGGGACACAGAATCGTTACTGAGGGACACAGAATCGTTACTCAGGGACACAGAATCGTTACTCAGGGACACAGAATCGTTACTCAGGGACACAGAATTGTTACTGAGGGACACAGAATCGTTACTGAGGGACACAGAATTGTTACTCAGGGACACAGAATTGTTACTCAGGGACACAGAATCGTTACTCAGGGACACAGAATCGTTGAATTAAAGAGTATGTCAGACAACACGCAGAGGAGTGGCAGAGGAGGCAATGTTTCAGGAGCGAGCAGACGTGGCAGCAGAGGAAGGGGTCGAGGCAGCACTAGTCGCAGCCAGAGGCCAGTGCTCCCGGTGTCATCCAGCGGTCGTGTCTCCACCGACAACCCTGCCGTCATCGATTGGTTGGCTCGGTCGTCTTCCCCTTCCCAGGTCACCTCTGACACCTACAGCCAACGGTCGGTGGGTACGTCAGACACAACCGTTAGTTGGCATGGCCCGGGAGCAAGCCCACTGAAATCACGTGTCCTCTACCTGCCCCTGTCCCTTTGGTGTTCCCTCACAAGCGAGCGAAGTATCGCATGCTGTGGGCTCAGCCCCACTGTACAGTGAGGAAGAGCTAACAGAGGGCGGTCAGGAACGGGGGGAGACATCCGCCTCTCTTCAGCAGCCAGGCGAAGAAGTACTGGCGAGGAGAGTGGCTCGGTAGCCGGTCTAGAGACAGGTCTGTCTCCTGACCCACACGCAGCCGAGGGGGCTAGTAGTGAGGCGGAGACCCTAATTGATGATGATGAGGCTGATCGCACTTGGCAGCCTCGTCGTCATCTGCCAGGCCCGTAATCTGCCATGGGCCCCCGTACCGACTCCTCATGCTGCTGCCAGGCCCGTAATCTGTCATGGGCCCCTGTACCGCCTCCTCATGCTGCTGCCAGGTCCAGAGTGTGTCATGGGGCCTTGTACGGCCTCCCATTGCTGCTGTCTCCATCGCCACACTCTGCCATGTGCCACTTTCAGGTCTCCTCACACTGCTGGTGGGTTCCATTTTGTCATAGGGTGCTGGCAGATTATGGGCCTCCCATTGCTGCTGCCAGGCCCGTAATCTGCCATGGGCCCCCGTACCGACTCCTCATGCTGCTGCCAGGCCCGTAATCTGTCATGGGCCCCTGTACCACCTCCTTATGCTGCTGCCAGGTCCAGAGTGTGTCATGGGTCCCTGTACGGCCTCCCATCGCTGCTGTCTCCATCGCCACACTCTGCCATGTGCCACTTTCAGGTCTCCTCACACTGCTGGTGGGTTCCATTTTGTCATAGGGTGCTGGCAGATTACGGGCCTCCCATTGCTGCTGCCAGGCCCGTAATCTGCCATGGGCCCCCGTACCGACTCCTCATGCTGCTGCCAGGCCCGTAATCTGTCATGGGCCCCTGTACCGCCTCCTCATGCTGCTGCCAGGTCCAGAGTGTGTCATGGGTCCCTGTACGGCCTCCCATTGCTGGTGTCTCCATCGCCACACTCTGCCATGTGCCACTTTCAGGTCTCCTCACACTGCTGGTGGGTTCCATTTTGTCATAGGTGGTGCTGGCAGATTACGGGCCTCCCATTGCTGCTGCCAGGCCCGTAATCTGCCATGGGCCCCCGTACCGACTCCTCATGCTGCTGCCAGGCCCGTAATCTGTCATGGGCCCCTGTACCGCCTCCTCATGCTGCTGCCAGGTCCAGAGTGTGTCATGGGTCCCTGTACGGCCTCCCATTGCTGGTGTCTCCATCGCCACACTCTGCCATGTGCCACTTTCAGGTCTCCTCACACTGCTGGTGGGTTCCATTTTGTCATAGGGTGCTGGCAGATTACGGGCCTCCCATTGCTGCTGCCAGGCCCGTAATCTGCCATGGGCCCCCGTACCGACTCCTCATGCTGCTGCCAGGCCCATAATCTGTCATGGGCCCCTGTACCGCCTCCTCATGCTGCTGCCAGGTCCAGAGTGTGTCATGGGTCCCTGTACGGCCTCCCATTGCTGCTGTCTCCATCGCCACACTCTGCCATGTGCCACTTTCAGGTCTCCTCACACTGCTGGTGGGTTCCATTTTGTCATAGGGTGCTGTATGGCCTCCCATTGCTGCTGCCAGGCCCGTAATCTGCCATGGGCCCCCGTACCGACTCCTCATGCTGCTGCCAGGCCCGTAATCTGTCATGGGCCCCTGTACCGCCTCCTCATGCTGCTGCCAGGTCCAGAGTGTGTCATGGGTCCCTGTACGGCCTCCCATTGCTGGTGTCTCCATCGCCACACTCTGCCATGTGCCACTTTCAGGTCTCCTCACACTGCTGGTGGGTTCCATTTTTTCATAGGCTGCTGTATGGCCTCCCATTGCTGCTGCCTCCACCGCCACACTGTGGCTCCACACTCTGGTTTTGGCCCCGTGACTGCCCAAATGAGTGAAGTGTGCGGTGATTCTAAGATCGACGGCACTCATCTGCATGTCATACTGACTGACAGTATTATTTCTCTTCCCCAGCAGACTCCAAGGGCATTTAAATTAAAGGTACAGTGTTCTGCACTAATATAAAGGCTCTCTGAAGCCTAGAAACACCCTTTTTATAAGTTAAATTCGCAGCGAATATATTCGACTCGAATCAAATTTATTCTGCGAATTCGCCGAATCAGCCGAATCGAATTTTTGAATAATTCGCTCATCTCTATTTATGAGCATAAAGTTGTCTATGGTGGTTGTCAGGTTGTAAGTATAGTATCAATTGGCAAGCCATGCATGCTTAGCATGTTTTTGTTTTTTTTTCTATTACATGTGGCGAGATATATGTGGTATGCTAAATAGGTTGTTGTGGGTTACACAAATAAACAAGTGTTCTTTGTTTTCCTGCATTGGTTTCTTCATTTCTGCACTGTACAACGTGCATGAGTAGCTCCTAAACTCAAATTTAGGAGCTTTTGACTTTTTTTGACAAAGCTCCTAAACGCAACTCCATAAAAGCCTAGGTGTCTATGTACATACAGACTTTTAGCAGAGTTTAGAAGCTGCCACGTTCAGGAGAGGTTAAACCTCCTTCTCCTGAACGTGAAAGAATCCAGTTCAGGATAGGAACGTTGTGACTCCCGACTGCGGGAGAATGCAGCAAAAACGCAGCAACCACAATACCACGTTTTTGCAGTGATTTGTGTTTTCCCACAGCCAGCGGTCAGGGTAGGCTCGTGTACATGAAGCCTAACTGTACTGATGCTTTAGTGAGAAAAAGAACAGATCTACTAGTTGTGAATAGGCAGGCTACCCTAGAAAATGACTCTCTGACAAAATCTGCACATTAAATTTCAATAACTTATTCATTTTTCATATTGTGCCAGTATTATGCTGTTTCTTTAATCACACATTTTGGCATTTTTTAGCAAATAATCAGGCTGATATAAAAACTACACATAAAAGTAGCTCTATGTTCATTAATACATCATTAAATGTTTTTTTAAACTCAACCAGCATTGGTTTTCTTTGAATTATCAGCCAGTCCTAAATTGGACTTGTTATCAGCCTCATGTAATATCTAGTAGAGCAATACTTAGATTAGGAGAGGAAGGGACAAGGGCGGACTGACAACTCATGGGGCCCCAGGCAATAGGGGATCATGGGGCCCCTGTGTCCTTGCCCAAACTCAAAAAAGCCTAAGAAAAAGGTACCAGGGGCATCTCATGGGGCCCCCTACTGACCTCGGGCAGTGCCCGAGTTTCCAAATGGTCAGTCCGCCCCTGGGAAGGGACAACACTGGAACCCAATCAAACACATTTGCTGGGAAGAAACATGCTGATAGCAGGGTAGGGCAGAGTCAGTAGAGGGAAGACCTCATCAGTACATTTTCTTAAACTTTGCTGTTCATTCACAGTCTGAGATCAGGGAGGTGGCAAGACTGCATTCTTAACTTCATCAGAGTAAATTGAGGTCACCAGACTGGCTGTGCTTTGTGGAAGAGCAGTGTAAATATTGAAACTGGACGGACAAAAATACAATATATATGGAAGGTAAAACAGCTGCATTAGATAGACTAGATGTACTACATAGCACACATTCATGCAAAGGTATTTTCAACTGGCAAGGAAGAAAAGGGTCAGCCATCCAACTTCCATTCTTTCACTTGGACCATCTTGAGAAATGTCTTTACATAATTGCTCTGTGCAGGCAGCAGTTTAAACCTACCCCCACACCCCCACACCACCAAAATGAAATTCTCTATTGTATCCTTATCACATTTCTGGTAAACCACAATATCAGATCATTTCATCCTTATCTGAACAATGCAGACCAGTGTCAATGCCCATAAGAGCAATTTTAACTGTTAATTAGTTCTCCAGTCAAAAGATTTTTTTTCTTTTTAATTGTAGAAGGATGTACAGTAGATCCTTTGCCATTTTTTTTCTACTCCAGAAATTTAAATAAATGGAAACAGGGTTCTAGGCCTTCCCTTATTTTCAGGAAATGAAAGTTATGTTTACTGACGCCTGTGTCCCTGTTGCAATTTTCCTGGTACAATGTTCTCACTAAAACGTGAGAAAAGTGAGAGAAAATCTCCCCAAGTAGCAAAAAAAAAGAAAAAGAAAGATCTACTCCCCTGTTTTAACTTAAACTAAAAAATGGCTGGAAATAAATTTTAAGGGCCCATTCAGGCCTCTACAGTATGTTGCAGGAACTAACGTGCATTGTGGTGCGTTGGGTGGGCTACATTAACGCAACACTAGTGTGATGATGTAGTACACCAAATGGACGGTCCTGAATGAGTTGCATAAAAATTGCATAGTGGAATCAGGACAAAGAGTGAATCTGGGGCCTATAAACCTGTGTTAGGAGTAGTCAAGCACATGCATGGGTCATGGCATGGCAAAGTGGAACTACACTGCATCCATGCTTTACTTTGCTGAAAAATCACTTTGACCATCTTGACTCAAAGCAGATGATTCATGTAGCATTTACTTCCTGGAATCCATCTGCTCTTAGCTCAGGCATATAGGTAGGAGGGTGTGTTTAGCTGAGAAAGCCCCTCCTCCCTTTCTGAAGACTCCTGTGATCTATGATATCATTTCCCTAGGCATGGAAACCAGGAAGTAACTAAGCAAAAAAGTAAAAGAAACATAGAAAAGTGATGGCAGAAAACGAGTGGTCCATCGAAACTGTCCGTTTTTTTTTGTTTGCTTGCTTTTTTTTTTTGGGGGGGAGGTTGTTTTTTCTTAGTTTTTTTTGTTGTTGTTTATTGTTAACTTTTTTTGCCTGAGTATAGATCTATGCTTGTCCCATGCATTTTTTAATTTACCGTTGACCGGCTTACTACCTTCTGCAGGAAGTTTATTCCAAGCATCAACTACTCTTTTAGTATAATAGTACTTTCTGAAGTTAGTTTTGAAATACAATATACTTTTCTATGTATTTATTAATGCTAGCAACATAAGGATTCAAAACAGTCAGTGTAGATTGAGAGAGCAAAGTTCCGCTTTAAAGACAGGGTGGGCTAATGCCAGGAGCAGGATACTCAGATCAGAGAACTGAGCCATTTCCTCAATAACCGCATCAGTATACTCTGTGACCCTTGGACAGATTGTGAAGAAAAAAAGTGCTTTGCTACAAATAAAGTATAATCCATTCCATTTGAGGCTATATATATAAATAAATATATATATATATTGTGGGAACTAGCATCAAGGGTAGAGCTTTAACAACACACAGCCACTCGCTTTCTTCTTTTTAAGGGCTGTGTTTGCCCAATTTTATTTAAAACAAAGTTCCATATAACATGTTTCCTATGCATGGGTATCCACCATCAATACAAACAAAAATATTCAGCCTCCTGGCTCTCTTTAGCAGCACCTCTGCTCAGGCTTCATGCCTTGGTCCTCTTGACCCTTCACATACAACACACTGCACTTGGGTTAGCGCCCTTTCTCAGCACTCTGGCTTCTCCAGCCCACAGGCGTGGGCCCTGTCTGCTTTCAGACTTCTCTGTGCCACCATGCACACTTGTGGCTGCTCCCTTGCACCCACATGGACTCCTCGGGAAGGTGGAGCCCAGAACCCTGGTCCTGACTCTAGAAGAGAGCCACACACACCTGACCAATCAGTCTCCTGGCCATTCCCAAAAATATTGGTCCCAGGATTGGAGATTTCATCCCTCCCAAATCACTTTGAAATCACCAGGCTCCAGGTCCCAAAATGGACTTTACAAACAAATGAGGAAAGTGAAAAGCCACTTTCCTTTGCATCAAACAAGTACCCTGGAGCCCCTCAACCTGCATTGTTGAGAATCCTGATCGAACAGATTGCCACACTGTCACAATATATATATAGCCTAACAAAGGAAAATGGTTAACATAATATGTCGTTTGTGTGTTACAGCTCAGGTCTATAGGCACCTACTG